TATCTGAATTTTCTCAAACAATTTGTTCGTAGCGAAAGAGCGAGCGAAGTTTTAATTTAATTTCTACAACAAAGATACGCTTTCGGTGAGTCTTTCCAAGTCCGTTCAATTTGGACATTTGTACTGTAAATTGCACAACAGAAACTGAAGGAATTTAACGAGAAAAGGCCGCATTGAATCCCCGAGTGTCTCGTTAGAGTGTGCCGTACGAATTTAGTTTTTGTGGAGGAAAGACCAGATTAACACACGCCATCGCAGCAAACAAACGAACAAACTCTCACAACTTCAGAGTGTGCCGTACGAATTTAGTTTTTGGGGAGGAAAGACCAGATTAACACACGCCATCGCAGCAAACAAACGAACAAACTCTCACAACTTCAGAATGAAAATTTGAATTTACTCAAAATTACTTTCCTCGCCGTTTACTTAATGAACAGAGGTAAATCTTCGTACATGAATGAATCGTCGATGAGAGTGAAAAATACTTTCCGTTGGATCATTGCCAAACTAGTTCCGTTGTTTTTCAAATGTTCTTGCGCTTTTTTTTCTTACGTGCTCCCTGATTGACAGGTGCCAGTAATAGATACTTGTAAAAAAAATGTTTCAAAGTTTGTTTGGAAGCCTTAAAATCATCTTCGTCGTTACGGAAATGAAAATTTTTCGGCGAGGCATCTCTCTTTAATTTGCATCACCTCTATTTTAACTACCATTTACTCGTAAAAAAATTGTTCAGTTTATTGAAGATCTTGCCGTATCTACAGCCCTAAATCATTCGGGTTCTTTCGGAAAGAATTTCGTCAAGTTTAAAAAATAAATATGTTATTTACTGGCTAAGGGTCGGTCCGTATGGTGAAAAACTGTGACCTCAGTCTTGAAATGCCAAGACCTAAAATAAATATTTTTCTTTCCAATCAAATTTGCGATTTTGTCCCGCTAAAATCAGTCAGTACATAATGCATTTCAAATCCTTCCCACTGATGTATTGTTGATGGTGGTTACGCTTTCAAAAATATACATGAAAAAATTACTCAGTTCTGATTGGTTAAGATAAATGCAGTTTTCAGGTGATTCAGTGCAGAAGAGAGTAAACTCTGTGCAGAAGAGGGTTAATTCAGTGCAAAGAAAGTAAAAAATCAGACATTTTGACTGGTCAATAATCATAGAAACTCACAGAAAGCCAATCAAATGCGAGTTTTGGATGTCGCAACAAAATTTGAAAATTTGCGAGCGAAACAATGGCCGGCGTTTTAGGTAGCTTTTCTTTCGCCACCGCGGCTGAAAAACAGCTCAAACAACGAAAACAATGTAAAACGCACTGCTTTTTGGTTGTCGGTTTGGAAAAAGTGGTGTTTACAGAAGGGAATTGCCAAGGAAATCGAAAATTACGAACCGACCCAGCTTAACATTTTGCTCGAGCGATTCAACACCGAAATTAAAAACAAACATGGTTAAACCTCGGAAACGACGATTCCATTTCATCGAAAGTGATTCGGACACAGAGTGAACAATTTATTGAACTGTTAAGCCGGACTTCGATTTTTTTTGCGGCTTAAAGATGTGAAGATATCATTGCATATTATTGTTTTGATCGTACGCGGTTGTTTTGACCGAACGCACGATTTGAATAAATAATTTTTTCACTTGATGCGCGCGCTTTGCTTATGCTTAATTATGATAAGCCATCTCGTATTTTTACATGTATATTATTAACACGTCATCACGTGATTTTTCTCGTGCAATTTAGAATAAATAAGCACTTGTCAATTTTTTCAAAGACCACAAATTGCACTCGCCCTACGGGCTCGTACAATTTTGTTAGTCTATAAAAATTTTACTCGTGCTTTTTTATTCCAAATTGCACTCGAAATCTCTCAGCCAAGGAATGACAATGCCATGAATAAGTCATTCTAACTGTTTGAATGAAATGGAATACGTTTAGATCAGCTTTGTTAAACTTCACAAGTAATTTATATTTAAAACCATTGAATAATCTTCCTTTAAACCAATAGCACTCAAGTTTATCCGATAGGTCTTAATAGTAAATTGTGCTTAGCAGGCTAATTGCTTGGAAATTAAAAAAAAATTTCCATAGGTGTATTCATTCCTCTATTGCCACTATAACTACACGGTTCACTGATTGCGAGCTTTTTGCACGCAATTAGCACACCATGATCAGTTTCAACTACGCTCATTTGTGTACTTTATGTGTTGGTTTCCCACACATAGCTGAAGGTAGAGTAGTGAAGTAAAGACGGTTCTTTTTGCCCACTTATATCGTAATTCCTTCTAACACAGCACAGTGCCAGCATATCAGGACATATACCACCTAAATATTATGTTCTCAGGCTTTAGTCAATAAAAGAATAAAGTCCTAACGTGGGTTAAAAATAATCCTGAAAAGTACTTACCAAAGGTCGGAATCAAAGTAAATGAAGATTCTAAAAGAATCAAACGCCGTTTGACAAATGACTCGGAAGGGTGAACCTTACAATAAAAGGGCGTCAAATACAAGGAAAGTTTTAGATCCGTTTGACAAATGACGTGGAAGGGTGACCCTTACAACAGAGGGCGTTAAATACGTGGCAAGAATTAAATCAGTTAGATAAATGAGTTTAAAGGGTAAACCTCACAATAAAGGGCGTTTAATACGTGGCAAGTTTTAGATCAGCCGACAATTGTCTTTTTGATTCATGCATCAGTGCAATTGCGATTGCCTAAATTGCACCGTCATTTGGAGCCCATTAGTAATGGGCTCCTAACAAATACCGTACTTTCTCGATTTAACGCCCCCAGCGTTTCTTTAGAAATAATTAGCAGTTTGGACTCGTCGTTTTTTCGAGGCCGGCGTTTAATCGAGAAAAAACGGTACTGTCATATGGTCACGTGGTTTCCTTGAAAATCATACTGATTGAAGACTGGTTAAAAACTTATTCTCGTGTCCAGGCCGAATTGGCTCTAAAACGGGTTTATACCTGTATAGAATGAACTAGTCTCCTACCCAGACCTTCCACGGCCAAGCAGTTGTACTCGGTAGGATCTACCTTCTCGTTTACATGGTTTAAGATAAATATTGTTTTAGCATTAAATGCTTCAGGAGTTTTAATCTGGTCATGCGAAGTTCATGAGACCATATGGTTCATATCACTTAAACTTGTTTTCATTTGCTTTGAGAATAACATTCAGCCCAGCTGATCGGTTTTCATCTGTTTAAATGAAGTTATTTGAAATTGTTGGACTGTTGGTGTTAGGTAACTGATGTCGCTCGCGCAAACGGAGGCACCAGGGGGCTGATTAGACTTTTCATTCAGTCTCTGAGTCCCAGTCTCTCTCTTTCAGCCCTAACTACACACTCTTAAATATTCCATCGATAGGCATGTTTAGACTTTCGGGACGACCGACTTTGGCAGCGTAAACAAATTTTCAGAACGCTAACGCAAAACATTCCACGACATATTCGAAATAAACGGCAAAGTACTTGAAAAACAACCAATTTTCAAGAACTAAAACCTGAACAAAATTTCCCGTCGAGGACTCTAAGCAAGGTCAAGGACAAACCCAAACACGATTAGCAGTGACGATTATCGCACGAGAATTGAGCCCTATTATAACGGTCAAGGACTCGTCACTCAAGGTAAAAATAAATGTGTGGTCTTGCAGCACATAACAAACCAAGGCTCAAAAGACTTGCACAAGGATTTCAAGAAAATCTAACAGGCCTAAACAATTCCCAAACACTTAGAGAGAACATTCCAAATTTTAATAGTTACCAAACACTTCTAATTTTAGAGGTTCATAACAAAATTATTTATTTGAGTAATGGTGATAACGAACTGAACTCACACAAGGGAAGCAATCAATCTTGGACGGAATCACGCCGAGAAAACAAGCAAGTAGCAAAACTTTAAGCCTCGCTGAGTTCATGAGATTGAAATAAATGGGACCTCTGGTGCGTTTAAATTTATAAGTATTTTTTTTTTAAAGTCAGAATAATCAGTAATATCACTCAAACACATTTGACGGCTTCATTGCAGCGGGGAAATTAAGAAATGAATCGGCTGAGTCTAGCAGAACTTAGAAAATCGCTGAGTACCGTCTATTGTCATTTATAGCGCAGGTCCTTCAAAGTCCTTCTGCTAAGAGTACTAAATATATCTTTCACCTCCAGGGGACAACTAATATTTGGAATTTCTGTACTTCACTAATTTGACTGAACTCCAAAATCAAAGCCTGTGTTTTACTTAGCCGTCGAGTAACAATAACAATTTTTTTAGGAACTTACAACTTCTGTGCACACCAAAATATGACAAGCCGTGACACTGAAACACTGGACCATGATAGTTGTGAACTTCTTGTGAAGTGTTTTCATGTCTAGTCAAGCGAAAATTGCCAAAAAAAAAATTAACTAGTTTTTATTCGCACCGTCTTCCACCTCAAACTGTTGAATTTTAACAGGCGGATAAAGCTTTGTTTATGAGAATTAATGCGCGGAAAGCCAAGTCGTTCGTTCCGTCATAAAAGTGAAGAGAAAAGAGAGAAATAAGCTCTGACGAACATACACTACTTAATTGCAGAATAGACAATGAAAGAATGCCATGGTCACGAATGGTGAAGATTAATGCAAATTGCAAGCAAAGTACAGGTTAAGTTTTTTAAGATCCCGAAAAACTGCCAAATGGCTTCATCTGTGATTAACTTTTTCCTGATCAACAACACAAAACTTCAGCAGATCACAACATCTGATTAACTGGTTAATTGCCCTCAACTATCTCCATCCGCCCTCACAGTCAATTTCTTTACATCTACCTGCTTTTTAAATTCCACCTATAAGCTCGATCGACGCGTTGTGTTGGCACTTCCCAGTGTCAGATCTACAAAAAGAAATATTCGTTATCA